ATTCTCCTCGATAGACTAGAAAACGTAGTAGGCATTAAGGGAATGGCCCTCTCCTGGCTCAGGTCTTATTTGACTGATCGTTATCAGTTTGTAGACATAAATGGTAACTTCTCTTCGGATACTAAGGTAAAGTTTGGTGTCCCACAAGGCTCTGTTTTAGGTCCACTGCTCTTTTCTTTATATATGCTACCTCTAGGCAAAATTATTCATAATCATGGTATTAGCTTCCACTGTTACACTGACACACAGTTGTATGTTTCAGCAAAGCCAGATGACAGACACCAGCTTAATAAAGTTGAGGAATGTGTAAAAGACATTAGAAACTGGATGTTTATTAACTTTCTCTTACTTAATTCTGACAAGACAGAAGTACTTGTACTAGGACCACATGCATTTAGAAGTAAGCTTTCTGGTTACATAATAACTCTGGATGGCCTTTCTGTTTCATCATCTGCAGCAGTAAAAGACCTTGGTGTGATTATCAACTCTAGTCTTTCTTTTAAAGGTCATGTAGATAATATCACTAGGATCACTTTCTTCCATCTCAGAAATATTGCTAAAATAAGAAATATATTGTCACTACACAATGCAGAAAAATTAGTTCATGCTTTTGTTACCTCTAGGTTGGATTATTGTAATGCCTTACTGTCTGGATGTTCCAGTAGATGCATAAACAAGCTCCAGTTAGTCCAGAATGCAGCAGTGAGAGTCCTTACTAGAACCAGAAGATATGACCACATCACCCCTATCTTATCCACACTGCATTGGCTCCCAATCACATTTTGTATTGATTATAAAATACTACTATTGACTAAATGGTCTCGCGCCACAGTACCTGAGCAAACTTTTGGTCTTTTATGATCCGCCACGCCTACCTAGATCAAAAAGTGCAGGCTATTTGTTGGTACCTCGAATAGTGTGGGCTACAGCTGGGGGTAGAGCTTTCTCTTAAAAAGCCCCACAGTTATGGAACAGCCTTCCACTTAGTGTTCAGGGCTCAGACACAGTCTGAGTGTTTAAGTCTAGGCTGAAAACATATTTGTGAATAGTTTTTTTTAGGTACAGGGGCAGGTCTGGAGGGTTCACAGGCATAGATTGTTATGGTGAACTGGGATGTTTGGATGCTGTCGCCCCCCCAATCTCCCAGGGTGCCCTCATGTCTGTGTTAGCTTCTGGCTCTCCCTTTTTGTTATGCTGTCATAGCTAGTTTTTGCCGGAGTCCCTGCTTGCACTCTGCATGCAAAGTACATTGTCCTTAACCATTAGAGGACAAAAGCTTACCTAACAATGTCTCCCTCTCTCTCCATCTCTCTGTCGAGCTACACATGCTACTTCTGAGATGCCAGTGATCCTGACCCCTTCTGCTCTCCGGACCTGCCTGACCCATCCTGATGCCCTACTTCTGGTTGGAGTTCTCATTGGTTGAGTTCGTGCGCTGCTGCTGGGGGTGGCCCCATACAGACAACCTGAAGAACAGTTTGGTTTGCTGGGGATGGTGCCACCTGGTGGCTGGGGAGATGGTTTGGGGATCTCATATGGGGAGCTGTACTGTGATGGTTTGGGACTGCAATTGCTGTGGTGGCTTTGGGGCTGCTGTTGCCACGAGCACCTTCATACTCAGGACTGCATCAATAGACAGTGGATAGATTTTAACCAACCGGACTACTTGCGAAAACCATGATGAATTTACTGGTTGCACATTTGCACTATTTGTCTATATAGTACACAATAATAGAAGGGATTTATTTATAATCGCACTATCCGTTGCACCCAGATGAGGATGGGTTCCCTTTTGATCCTGGTTCCTCTCAAGGTTTCTTCCTCATATTGTCTCAGGGAGTCTTTCCTTGCCACCGCTGCTTCTGGCTTGCTCATTAGGATAAGTTCACATATTTACAATATAATTTTTGAATCCATTTATTTCTGTAAAGCTGCTTTGTGACAATGTCCATTGTTAAAAGTGCTATACAAATAAAATTGAATTGAACTGAATTGAATTCATGAATATAAATACAGAGGGTTTACAACAAGGTGCAAACCACTGGTAAAATTCAAGAACAGGAAAGCCAGATTAGACTTTGCCAGACAACATCTGAAAAAAGCCTCCCATGTTCTGGAATAAGATTCTTCGGACTGATGAAACCAAGATTAACTTGTACCAGAATGATGGGAAGAGAAAAGTATGGTGAAAGAAAGGAACAGCTCATGATCAAAAGTATACCACACCATGTGTCAAACATGGCGGAGGAAGTGTTATGGCATGGGCATGTATGGCTGCCAATGGAACGGGCTCACTGGTGTTTATTAATGATGTGACTGCTGACAGAAGTAGCAAGATTAATTCTGAGGTGTATAGGGCTATACTCTCTGCTCATATTTAGCCAAATGCTACAAAACTGATAGGATGCTGCTTGACGGTTCAGGTAGATAATGACCCTAAACATACTGTGAAAGCAACTCAAGACTTTTTGAAGGCAAAGAAATGGAATATTCTTCAATGGCCAAGTCAGTCGCCTGATCTCAACCCAATAGAGCATGCTTTTCACTTACTGAAGACAAGACTGAAGGCAGAAAGACCCACAAACAATCAGCAACTGAAGGTGGCTGCAGTGAAGGCCTGGCAAAGCATCTCCAGGGAGAAAACCCAGAATTTGAGTTTTGAGAACATGGGCTCCAGACTTCAGGCAGTCATTGACTGCAAAGGATTTTCATCCAAGTATTAAAATTATGGTTATATTTATAATCGTCACTTTGTCCAAATACTTTTGAGCCCCTGAAAATGGAGGTACTTTGTTGAAAATGGCTGTAATTCCTAAATGGTAAATGCCATATTTTTGTGGGACCTCTTAAAACAAAGCTGAAAGTCTACACTTTGATCACATCTTGATTGTTTTATTTCACATCCATTGTGGTGGTGTATAAAGGCAAAATCACAAAAACTCTGTTAACTGTAAAATACTATGAAATTTAAAAATAACAGGTTCAAGCTATATTTATTTAGTATTAACTGTACCATACTATAGATTTTGTAACTTTAAGTAACATAATAGCAACTCTGCTTTACAATTCATGTTTTTTTTTTCTTTTTTATTAATAATAATAAAAAACAATCATCTTCATCTAAGTAAAAGTTTTTCATTATATTTCCTGCAGCCACTACTCAGTTTTTTTGACTACTCCAATTCTTCTTAGAATGTCTTATAAATTAAATGTCTGCAGGTCATTTCAGCCTAAATTTTAATACAAACTTAAAAGACTGTTATACTTTAATAATGGAAAATAAATCACTACAAGCTGTGAGATGCTGTATGAATATTTCAAGAGTTTATTCAAAAGTTGATTTAAGTTGTTCATCTTATACTTGTCTAATTTGCTGTTTGGCCAATAGATTACACTGTTAACACAGTGAGCGTGATGGTTTGCTTTCATTCTCATCTCTGAAAAGCATGAGAAAGACTGTAGATGGTATAGAAAAGCAATCGGAAGACCCTCTTGCAAAATGTAGAAAAGTATAATCAAACTGATTAAATCTGGAACTGGATAGACTACAGCAAGTCATATCTAATATACATTCAAATCAGTTTAGCTAGACAATAACTGTATATTAGAAAATGTATTTCTTTCTTTTCTTTCTTTTTTTTTAATGAGTATGTATGACTATGACATTGCTGCTACAAAGTAAAATTTAAGGCTGCTAGCTATATGCACAATCCTAGAATATGGATTGTATGAAGGCTCTATGGATATTTGAAGTCTTCTTCAGAATAGGACAAAAAAGGTTTGAAATTCATCCACTGAGAAATTCATTGCATTTTCATGCATATTAATAACTGTCTATATTCACATTCTTCCTACATAGCACATCCTTTCAAAATATACAGAATTGAATCCTGTCCTTTAATTCTGCCATGGGTTTACTCTAGAACTGATGGATACTTTATTTGAATTTCCAATTTCTTCCCCCCTTTTTTATCTTTTGCTTTTAATATGGCTAATCATTTAATTATTTTTGCTCAAAATGTCACATGCATAGCAAGCATTGTCAACCCAACCCAAAAGCAATTACAGATATAATATAGAGAAGACAAAACTGTATAGTATATTGTTTGTCAAACATTCACATGATTATGCACATCAAAAAGAAATACAATTATTTTAACTGTCATGTGCTCAACATACATTATCAGATCTGTCATGGAGGGGTGTGGGTTTATTTCAGCTTCGAGTGAATTGTCTAAAAATAGGGGTACTGTGTGGTCAGAAAGTGAGAAACTTGTTTGATAACTAGCTAGGACAGAAGAAGGAAAAAGAAAACTCATGTATGTCACAAAATTGAGGCTGAGACAGATGCAAATGCAGGTTGAGCAGTTTAATGATACACAGGCAAACTATCCAAAAACACTGGGCAAAAACGTAGTCAAAAACAGGCAAGGTGATTGGCCAACAGGACAAAATAGGTTAGGCAATAAACACAGGAAGCAGAGACAGAAACACAAGGTAAGCTGAGCTATATACGTTTCAAAGTGCAATTGATAGAGTGTCTCTATATATAGGGTGCCTGTGATTGTGTGTGAATTGGGAACAGATGTGTGTTCTTAGAAGTCTGGCGACTATGAGGAAGTGTATGTGCATTCTGGGAAGTGAAGTCCAGTGCAGCCATGTTTCTAGGCCTCCGTGACTGTTGGGAGCTGGAGTTCGTGACCTGGGTTGACCTGACAATGTACAATTAAAATAGGAAGTTAACCATTCCTTTATATCATAGCAGTTTTATTATATGTTCATATAGTTTATGTATTAAATTATAATACTATAGTAAATTTGGCCCAAAGCAACTTATATTAAAACAGTGTATGTGATTAAGGTGATATTGGTAACCCCACATTTACAAATTTACAGAAAAGACACCTGAATTCATATGTGAATTTTACACAAGGCTTTTATACTCGTCACGCTTCACTTGTAGTGCTTGGATTCCCTGGACAAGCCTGGATGAACTTCTGGGCAGTGGTAGCTCAGTGGTTAAGATGTTGAACTACTGCTCAGGTGGTCATGAGTTCAAATCCCAGCACTGCCAAGCTGCTACTGCTGGGCCCTTGAGCAAGGTCCTCAACTGCTCAGTTGTATAAATGAGATAAATGTAAGTTGTCTGCTATAAATGTAAACTTCATGTTGTTTTTCACATGTACTGGATGTGCTTTTATTTGCTTGCTTCTCACACATGATTCATTTCTGTAAAAAAAAAAAAAAGCTCTTTTTTTACATGTAAGGCATGTGTTTTTTTACTTGCATAATCAAATGTGAAAAAATATATAGTCTTGTGTACACCAGTGTCGTCATTCTTCTCAGTTGCAACTCACTTTTTCTTGAGCAATGAATCTTTTCAATACACCTGAATATAGCCCACTTGACCTGATGTGAGTTTTAAATATGGTGTGATGCCTTCAGTTTAATGGTGAAGCAGTACAATGCAATGGGCAGTATAAGATTGGCTCTTTCTCCGTGACACCAGGGCTTACACAAGATCTCTCAAACAGTTTTTATGCCATGTAACCTAATAAAATATTAGTTTTCTGGCTAATATACAGCATTATTTTATTCTAGGCTACATAAAATTGTACAGCATGCATAGATTGTATAGAAAAGTAATACAGGATTTGAATTTGGGAACAAGAGTGGGTTAGTGGAAAGTAAAAAGATTATTTGGAATATACAGTACACTACAGCACACATCTTATACTTTATCTCACTTCTCCATGTGCTTTTTTCATGGGTGAGTGAGACAGAGAGAGAGGGAGAGAGAGAGATAGATGGACACCATCCATAATCATCCCAGGCACAGTTCCCCAAAGCTATCATAGCGCAACGAATCATCGTTACATGGGTGGATTGCTTTAAACACCCTCTCTACCAAGTAATGGAGCTCATCATGCTGTGGAGCTTTTGGGAAACTGACAGTTGTGTGCTGACACGTGAATATCCGCACATTAAAATGATTCAATTGTGATGGATGTGATGCTACATCAGATCTAATTGGAAAGATGCTACATTGGTGGAGCCAAAACATAGATAGGTGTATGAGAAAAGAGCTTAAACAGATTATAAATAGTTGTCAGGAATTATCTCTTTTTTTGTACTTAATTCCAAAAGGGGAAATATAGGTGGTCAGAAAAAGAGACTTCTCTTAACTCTCAAGCAAAAAGTTGCATGTTTAGATTGAAGAATCTGCAGAATAATTTGCAGAATTTTATAAAAAGAAAATCATCTGCATCAAGTATTCCCAGTGCTGTTTTTTTTCTTCTTTTGAACGTAGTCATTGCCAATTATCATTAACTAACTATTTCTCAAATATGCTATGCAAACAATATACCAGAAAGCATAAACTCATCTCTCATGAAGACTTTCTCATTCTGGAAAACTTTACAAAACACCATGACTGTTACAATGCACTGATACGCAAGACCCATTTCTGTATTTGTTACCCTGTGTCCTAAGAAAAAATGTCACCAGATCAATGATTATATGTTTTTCTATGTTAAACAATGCACTTTTAAAACGTCTTAGAATATGTGGCACATCCCCTATACAAATCCCTGTTAATGAGCTGTTACTATAGAAACAGTAACGTATTAGAACAAGTGCATTAACACAAATGTATCATATGTATTACAGCTAAAAATACAGTCCTAGCCATACTTTTATATAAAATTAATCTACGCCTTAGATTCAAGAATTCAACCACTCTGTGGTATATATTATATTATATTATATTATATTATATTATATTATATTATATTATATTATAGTATAGTATAGTATAGTATAGTATAGTATAGTATAGTATAGTATAGTATATTATGTGTTTCTGGGATTCCTGTCTCACGTCCAGTGTTTCTGGGATTGGCTCTGGATCCAACACAACCCTGACCAGGATAAAGCGGTTATTGAAGCTGAGTGAATAAACGCCGCTTCATAGATCCACAGATCCAACACATCCTAAAGCTTGTGCTCATGTTACTGTCTCTGTGGTGTTTCCTGTGTCTTCCTCCATATTCACAAGGGGTTCTCTGATTTCCTGCCAACTCCCAAAAACAGATCCACCAGAACCCTGGCTGGAAGGATGAATGAATTATATGATATAATCTTGTACTATACTATTGTCAAATGAAAACTTCACCACTGAAATAACCAAGTTCTCAGCCATGCAAATGAATAAAAGCTAGAGGCATGGTTATCATTCTTTTTTTTTTCAAGACTTTAGATATCAAATCATATTATGTTTGTTCTAAGTCATATAAATTTCTTATGAACTCAGGTTGAAATACCAAATTCTCTTGTCATGACCAACAAAGGCATTTAACCATAACTATTAAAACACAGTAAGATTTAAATGACTAATTAAATGACTAAATAAAAAATCTCAATCAAGAAAATCCTAGAAAAGACACTGTATCCTGCAGAGAAGCTGGCAGGGGTGGTGGTACAGGTTTGCTGTTGTCTCGGAGATGATGCTTCACACTGCTCTCCGTCTCATCTCAACATCTCATCCTTTGAATTCCATGTAGTTACAGTTACCTCTCCAGTCAACCTTTTCATCGTTGTCATCTACCAAGCTCCTGGTCCCCTAGGGGCCTTCCTTGAAGAAATGGACATGCCCCTCCATCTTTTCCCTACTCACAGCACCCCTCTTACTGTCCTCGGAGACTTCAACCTCCCTGCTGACAAGCTCCAGTCCTCTTGCCTTCTCCCTCTTTTGCATTCCTTTTCTTTAACTTTCAACAGCTGTCCTCTACACATAAAGGAGGAAACAGCCTGGACCTTGTCTTCAGCTGCCCCTTTCCTACTACAGACAGTGCTACCCCTCTCCACATCTCTGACTATCTCTTGGTATCCTTCACCATCACCCTCCCTGCCTAAAACCACCTGCCACCTATCCTGCCTAAAACCACCAGCCATCTATTCTTCTCTCCCACTCGTAAAAACCTCCACTCTATCTCCCCTTCCTCCTTAGCTTCCTGCACCCTATCATCCCTTGCTGTCCCTGACTCCTTTTCCTCCCTACCATTGGAGCTACTGACACTCTCCTCTCCTCACTTTCCTCATTCATGGACCTGCTCTGTCCTCTATCCTCTAAACCCAGGACGATTTTCTGCCCTGCTCTTTGGCTATCAGATGTGTTACGCAGTAATCGGAGAGAATTAAGAACAGCAGAGAGGAAGTGGAAGAAATCGCAACTCGACACAGATCTTGTCTCTTACCGTGCTCTCCTGTCCAAATTTTCATCTGAAGTGATTTCTACAAAGAAAAGCTGGAGTCCTCTGCACAAGATCCTCGCAAGCTCCACAACATCTTTTCTTCACTACTCAACCCACCGGCTCCTCCTGCTCCATCCTCCCTGACTGCTGAAGACTTTGCCACGTTTTATGATGAGAAGATTGGAAAAATCTGCCAGACATTCACTTCTACTCCTACTCCTACACTACACACTGAGGATTCTCCTTCTCATTCGCTGACCCAGCTTTCTAAACTAACAACAGAAGAGATCCTGCATCTCTCAAGATCTCTCCTTCTCTTCATCACCACTATCATCAATGGCTCCATAACATCTGGTCATGTACCAACCTCATTCAAGAGAGCAAGGGTTATTCCCATCCTGAAGAATCCCACACTAGATCCCTCTGACATCAGCAACTACTGACCGGTATCGCTTCTCTCTTTTCTTTCTAAAACCCTTGAACAAACGGTCTACAATCAGCTGTCTCTCTATCTCTCACAGAACAACCTCCAAGATCCCAATCAGTCTGGCTTCAAACCGGCACACTCCACAGAGACTGCCCTTTTGGCCGTCACTGAGAAGCTACATGCTGCTAGATCAGCCAACCTGTCTTCAGTCCTCATCCGCCTTGACCTTTCAGCAGCGTTTGACACCGTGAACCACAAGACTCTCTTGTCCACCCTCATGAGCCTAGGAGTTCATGGTGCAGCATGGCAATGGTTTGCTTCCTACCTGGAAGGTCGGTCATATCAGGTGACATGGAGGGGATCCATATCTGCTTCCCGCAGACTCTCCACTGGTGTCCAACAAGGCTCAGTCTTCTTCTGTTCTCCCTCTGTACTCGATCTCTTGGTGCGGTCATATCCTCACATGGGTTTTCATACCACTGCTATGCAGATGACACTCAACTCATCCTCTCCTTCCCTCCCTCAGACACCCATGTTTCTGCTCGGATATCAGCATGTCTGGCAGACATCTCATGGATGACAGCTCATCAGATGAAACCTATTCCCAGCAAAACTGAACTGCTGTTCATCCCAGGTGATTCATCCCTGTCTCAGGATCTCCCTAGACAATTCTCTGATCTCGCCTTCAGTTACTGCACACAACCTTGGGGTAACCATGGACAATCAACTGTCCTTCTCCTCTCACATTGCTAATCTGACACGCTCATGCCAATTTCTCCTTTATAACATCAGAAGAATCCGTCCATTTCTTTCCACACAGGCCACACAGGTGCTTGTTCAGTCCCTTATCATTTCAAGACTGGACTACTGCAACTCACTCCTGGCAGGTCTGCCTCTGAGCACCATTCGTCCTCTGCAACTGATCCAAAATGCAGCTGCACGATTGGTTTTCAACCTTCCTAAATTTTCCCACACCACCCCATTGCTGTGCTCCGTCCACTGACTTCCTGTAGCTGCCCACATCAGATTTAAAACACTGATGCTTGCTTACAAAGCCAAACATGGACCAGCACCCACTTATCTCAAAGCACTCATCATACCTTGCAAGGCACCACACTTCCTCCGATCCTCTAGCACTGCTCGACTGGTCCCACCATCTCTCAAGGTACAAGGGAGGCATGCATTGAGACTCTTCTCTGTTCTGGCACCAAGGTGGTGGAATGAACTTCCCCTAGATGTCCAAACAGCTGAGTCACTGGCAGTCTTCAAACGACGTCTAAAGACTTACCTCTTCATAAAGTACTTAAGAACTTTAAAAAAAAAAAAAAATTACCTCCCCAGCAGAGTTTTGGACTGATGGTATTCCTAGTTTGTGACCTAGTGAGCCAATATCAG